CATATAGCAGCATTACTATTGAGATATGGTAACCTGAGCCCCTCTAACTATAAGCTTTATCAAAAAGGAAAGTTTTAAGCCTACCCTTAAAAGTAGACAGGGTGTCTACCTCATGGACTAAAACTGGTAGTTGGTTCCACAGGAGAGGAGCCTGATAACTAAAAGCTCTGCCTCCAATTCTGTTTTAATAAATTCTAGGAACCACTAATAAACCTGCAGATTGAGAGCGAAGTTCTCTGTAAGGAACATAAGGAACATTCATAGCTCTGATATAAGATGGAGCTTGGCCATTTAAGGCTTTATATGTGAGAAGGAGGATTTTAAATTCTAGTGGGGATTTAACAGGTAGCCAATGAAGAGAGGCTAGGATAGGTCAGACATTATCTCTCTTTTTAATTTTCATCAGAACTCTGGCTGCAGCATTTTGGATCAGCTGAAGGCTTTTAATTACAGTTTGTGGACTTCCTGATAGTAAAGACTTACAATAGTCCAGCCTTGAAGTAACAAATGCATGGACTAGTTTCTCAGCATCACCCCTGGACAGGATATTTCTAATTTTTGCAATATTCCCCAGATGAAAGAAGGACATTCTAGAAACCTCTTTGATATGGGATTAAAATGACAGGTCCTGATAAAAAATAACACCAAGATTTTTTACTTTATTGTCTGAGCTCAATGTAATCCCATCCAAATGAAGTGCCTGACTAATCAGCTCCAAAGACTATAACTTCGGTTTTGTCTGTATTCAGAATTATAAAGTTAAGAGTCATCCAGGTTTTTATGTCTTCAAGGCATGCCTGTAATCTATGTAATGGATTAGTTTCATCTGAATGTATAGACAGATATAGCTGACATCAGATATAGCTGAGATAGCATAACAGTGAAAATTAATCCCATGCTGTCTAATAATTCTACCGATTGGGAGCTTATATATAGTAGAGAGAATTGGTCCTACCACTGATCCCTGTGGTCAGTGTTGGGAAAGTTCTCTTTCTACGTGAACTAGTTCAAAGTTCAGTTCACACATTTTAAAATGAACTAGTTCAGTTCATAGTTCACAATTCCAAAAAACGAACTAGTTCATAGTTCTTTTTTTTTTTTCTTGATATATTGCTCAATTACACCATAGCCTACTGTAGAACCACAGACAGCGATTATTTTATCAGTTGTAACTCTGAAACTGTGCGTCAGATTTCATCTTCATATCCAGTTTTGAATCCTTATCCAACCAGGGTTTACATTAGCATTGAGGGGACAGCATTTCCCCATTGTTGCTTTAATGCTTTGTTGCTGTCCATTCACTTCACACTAGTAGCAGCTGCAGCTTTCACCCCTACAGTATATTCTCAAAAACATCAGGAAAATGTGCTGCTTGAATGGTCTTTTTTATGAGGAATTATTAAAAGAAAAATAGGAAAGTAGTCTTTAAGGTGCAAATGTTTTTTTTTATTTTAATAATTTTTTCCATTTGAAATTCCATTTCAATACATACTAAAAAGGAATACTGGAATCCTGGAAAATTATACCAGGCAGGTTTAACAAACAAGTTACATGGATAGTAAAACCCTCAAGAACAGGTGTCTTCTATGTTTTCCAGACCAAGGACCCCCAAACTGATGGTGAGATGGAGCGGGGACCCCCTAACTATATATATTGTATGAAATTGTGTCCTATAGTCACTCTATTACAGATGGAGTAATGTAAAGAAATTAATTTCTCCCTGGGATTATTAAAGTTTTTCCAGTTCTGATTCCTGGTTGATGGGACAGGTGTTGTGAAGGAAACGGTGCCCAGCTTGAAAGAGCTCCTGTGTGTCGCTGAATGTGTGCATTGATGACTGAAATACATCTTCTGCCTCCATTTATCTGTTTACTACAGTGTGTTGATTTCATGTTAATGAGTATTTAAAGACATTTCAATAAGTGGGAAAAAAAATTGCAGGGGGGGAATATAAAAATATCAACTAACCATGCAGATCCACATGCAGTAACTCCGTAGACCCCCTAGGGGTCGCGGATCCCCTGTTGAAGACCTCCGCTCAAGAAGATTTTACTAACACAAACTGAGGGACCAGGCTGAGGTAGGAATTTAAGGTTACTGAAGTGCGGATTTTTTTACTGAAAGCCAGCGGGCAAACTTGTTGCCATCATCCTCACCGACCACCTGGTCATAAAACAGTTTTAAGTCGCCTCCATGCTGCTGTTGCTTCCACGCATTTTGTTTTGATGACGCACGCGGCTGTAGGCTACGACGCTGGTAGCTGCTGTTGCCAGATTGGGTGTTTTTCCCGCTACATATTAAGGCCTGTTTACGGTGTGATTTAGCCGGGGTTTCGCCTGGAGGGCTCTATAGAAATCTGGCAACCTATTGAACGGAGCTGAACTGAGAGCGTGCCGTTCACAGACACCAGAATGAACGAGTTCACAATAACGTTCATCAGGCAATAATGCAGTACGTTCAGTTCACGTTCGCCCAAAATATGAACGAGTTCATGAACTTTCGTTCAATGAACGCGTTCAGGCACAACACTGCCTGTGGTACTCCACAGGTAACCCTGGAGCATGAGGAAGATTTATCATTAATGTGAAAAGACTGAAATCGGTCAGATAGATACGATTTAAACCAGTCCAGTGTTGTTCCTTCAATTCCTACAAAATATTCAAGTCTTTCCAAAAGTATATTATGATCAATTGTATCAAATTAAGCACTGAGATCTAACAGGGCAATTTCAGGTACAAGTCCATTATCTGAGGTCATGAGAATATCATTAGTGACTTTCACCAGAGCTGTTTCGGTGCTATGATGAGCTCTAAAGCCAGACTAAAACTCTTCAAAAAGTTAATTATGGTGTAAGTGATCGCAAACTTGTTTGGCAACAATTTTCTCATAATTCTAGATAAGAAAGGGAGATTAGATAGAGGTCTATAATTGACCAAGTCATCTGGGTCAAGAGACAGTTTATTAAGTAACGGTTTAATTACATCTACCTTAAAATACCTCCCGGAATAACCTGGTAGGAACTGGATCCAACATGCAAGCCGAAGCCTTGATGAAGACAATAGTTTTGCTAACTCTGAAAGTTCAACTGGATCAAAGCAGTCTAAACCCGGTTAAGATACTATGGCTACCTCAGATGCTACCTCACCTTCCAGAGCTAAACCAATCATAGTTAGAGGAGTGCTAATGATCTTATTTTTAATAAAATCAATCTTATTTATAAAGAATCCCATAAAATCATTACTGATAAGAGCAGTTGGGATGGACGGTTCAACAGAGCTATGGCTCTGGGTGAGTTTGGCAACTGTATTAAAAAGATATCTAGGATTATTCTTATTCTCCTCTAATAATGAGGAAAATATGCTGCTCTTGTTTTATAAAGGGTCCTCTTATAAAGCAGTAAACAATTTTTTCAGACCAGGTAGGATTCCCGTAGGCATGTAGAGCGCCATTTTCTCTTCAGTTTCCTAGCATTTTGCTTCAGAGTGTGCAGCTCTGCATTAAACTAGGGAGCCAGCTTTCTATTTTTAAAGTTTTTCTTTTCCAAAAGGTCTGCGTTGTCTAAGGCAGTACGCAGAGAATTAGCAACCCCATCAGCAAAATCATCAATCTGTGAAGGGGAAAAAACTAAACATTTTGTTACTTTTAATAAGAAATATATATATACAGTAGGGGACTCATCTTTAATCAGCTGCTATGTGCGCCAAACACATTATATAGATGATTTTCAACGTAGCATTAATCTAAAATTTCTCCTGTAGTTAGCCAGATAACATTGAGTAACAGGTATACATACACAGGGCTGTCAACTCTCACCCATTGGGTGTGAAACTCACACATCTCAATGTCCTCACACGCTCTCACTCCATATCCGCAATTTTTCACTCAAACAAAAACATCAAAACTCAACTCCATTCCACTTATTTATTTATAAAAAATATCATGCTGATAAAAATCCACTAATTTAGTAATCCATTCATCCTTAACTGGAATAAAGAGACTCTAAAACATGTCTTTAGCTGATAGAGTGACCCATCTTGAGCAGCAGTTATACCAAAATTGTAAAACAAATATGTAAACGTTTTATATTTTGACACATATATATATATATCATCTTTCATTATGCTCTATACTCCCCAAGTGAAAAAAATTACATTCACCTGATTTGATTTAATCAAAAAATATAGATTTTTAAGGAAGCTTTGGCTATCCAATATTTAACTGATTAATTGAAAAAAATAATCGACAGGTAAGTCTATTTGCAAAAAATCGTTCGTGGCAGCCATCTACAGCCTCCTACAAGAAAAACTAATAAGATAATGAGTTAAGATTTTTTAATCCTCAGCCTACTATCAAATATTCATACAATAGTTTGCACAGGATTTGGTTGCACTGGTTCTTGTATTAGTGCCAGAAATCCAGTAATTGCCTATTAGTTCCCCATCGTTTATTTTACTTGAACTGCATAGAATAATTAAAAAACACAGTTGTGAAATTCTTAATTTACAGTATATTTAAGATGCATTATTTTATTAGGGCCTATACTTCTTTACTTAAATTCTCTAAAAATCCCCTGAATATAAAAAATAATGTATATATTTTTTTAAAATGTTACATATAACTACAGATAATTTATTATTATTAAGTAACATTTACTGTTCTTAAAAAAATCCAAATTTTGCCACTTTGTTTCAGTTAAATCCTCTGAAAACCGACAACTACTGCACCTGTCCTCAGAGCCTTTCACTCTAACCCTGACAAGGCTGACCTATCTAAACTATTTCAAAATCTCACTCCAAGGTTAAAAGCTGGCATCCCTGCTTACATTTAGAAAATGATATACGTGCAAAACAGCATTATCCTTATTTTTAGTAGTATTGTAGTTGTAGTGGTAAAAAAATATATACCGGTAATCCTAAAACTACAGCTCCCTGCAATAGCTGAAGGGTGGAGAAATCTGATTGGTCCGCTGACACCCACCTGACGCAGTTGGACGTATCGCGAGAGACGTAAACAGGAAGTGAACAGCAGCGTGAGAGCTGAAAGTCAACTGAAGGCAAGATGTTAAGAAAATAAGAACATACAATCTTTTCTTTTTTCCTTGTTCCTGATGTTATATGTTTGGTTTTAGGAGTTTTATTCCGTGGGAAGTTTCCAAGCTTGTAGCGATGTTTCAGGCTGCAGCACAGACAGTCTTCGTTTCATCAGCAGCAGCATCAGTATATCGAAGTGTTTTCTTGGTGGGCTGTCGGCGGTACTGTAAGAAGATCCCAACAAAACTTAGAATATCCGAGGCACTGTCAGGAGCTGAGCTGGGAGCAGAGGTGAAAGTTCAGGTATTAACATCATATTTTTTATTGGTTTAGTTGTAGGCAGAGAGGTCTTCAACAGGGGGTCCGCGCCCCCTAGGGGATCCATGGACGTACTGCATGGGGGTCGTGAAAGTTTTGGTTGATTAGACTTTTTTTTATATTCCCCCTGCAATTTTTTTCTCCCAAATTGAAACGTCTTTAAATCCACTTTAACATGAATTCAACACATTGTAGTAAACAGATAAATGGAGGCAGAAGATGTCTTTCAGTCATCAATGCAAACATTCAGCGACACACAGGAGCTCTTTCAAGCTGAGCACTGTTTCATTCACAACACCTGTCCCATCAACCAGGAATCAGAATCAGAAATACTTTAATAATCCCAGGGCGAAATTACTTTCGTTAAATGACTCCATCTGTAAAAGAGTGACTATAGGACCAGTTTGATATAACACAATTTCATACAATATATATAATTAGGGGTCCCCACTCCATCTCGCCATCAGTTTAGGGGTCCCTGGCCTGGAAAACATTGAAGACCCCTGCTGTAAGCAAAGATTTAGATTATCTCAGCTTGAATGTTTGTTCTTCTTCTTTTTTTTTCAATATTACAATAGTTAGGAATAAATGGGCCCAATTGGGTTTAACTACATTTGTTTGCTCTATCTTTTAAATTTCTTTGTATTGATCTGATGTCAGTACCTTCGTTTGAAGAATCAAAATGTATATCCCCCATAATTTAGATTCATAGAGTAGCCAGTTTCTATTTTGCTCAATAAATCATGGTATTTTTTCCTTGTCAAAGAGATTTAAAAGTGGATCGTCTCTGTTGCAGGGATGGGTACGGTCTGTCAGACCTCAGAAGAACAACATCTTTCTCCACGTCAATGATGGAAGTTCTTTGCAGTCTCTGCAAATTGTTGGTCAAGCAAAACTGAATGATCCGTAAGCAGTTCAGATTTACACTTAGAACATACTGTATTTCAGCTGGACTCCTTATTACTGTTAGTCATTAGACTCCTGTTAGTATTTGTGAATGTCTGAACGTGACCTGAATTTAAAATCCCATAGTCTGTTTCTTTGTCGATTAAGGTACATAAATGATTCATTGTCTAATTTCTGTGGTTTGTCCCCAAAATGTTCAATTTTTTCCCCTCAAATTTCAGGTTGCTAACCTTTGGCAGTGCTGTTGAAGTCACTGGTATCCTGAAGAAGAGTCCTCATCAAAAGCAGCCAGTTGAACTAGAGGCAGAACAAATCCGAGTAGTTGGAGAATGTAACCCTGTTGTAAGAATAAAAAAAACACCACAGCCCCAAACTGAGTTTTATGTTTTAAATAACCTTGTGTTTTATAGTTTTTTAATCCTATATTTTTAATTTGCCCAGGATTTTCCATTTAAAATCAAGGACAGACACAGTCTTGAATATACGCGCCAGCTTCCTCATCTCAGGTGTCGAACGAACGCCTTCAGTTCCCTGTTGAGGATACGAAGTGAGGCCACCGCAGCAATCCATTCATACTTTAAAGTAAGTACCTGGTGCTGTGATTTTTTTCCTGATTGCATATCATATGCCAATACGCTGTTTGATTGTTTTGCTTGCCATCAGAATAATGGGTTTGTACAGATTCACACCCCTATCATCACCTCAAATGATTGTGAAGGAGCGGGAGAACTCTTTAAAGTGGAGGTGAGTACCTTAATGCAATTATTTGCATTTTTATCATCCTTGTTTAAAATGTGAAACACATTTTAACTGATAATGGTTTATTGGTTAAAGAGAAAAATGCACTTCTATCACAGCCATCAGGTCCAGATTTTTCGGACGATGAGGAATTTTTCTCTGTACCTGCGTTTCTGACTGTATCAGGACAGCTTCATTTAGAGGTGATGTCAGGGTGAGTAAAACTGAACTATCTCTATGTTTGTACGTTAGGCCGCTATAACATACTTAGGTATGTTTAACTATGAGGATTAGAATCTGTTGCTTATATGTCTGCAGGGCTTTTTCCAGAGTCTACACATTCGGGCCAACCTTTCGAGCCGAGAACTCCCAAAGCAGGCGCCACCTGGCTGAGTTTTTTATGGTTGAGGCAGAAATCTCCTTCACTGAGTCTTTGGATGATCTCACCAAGGTACTTTATGTTTCTCCCTAGAAACTTCCCTCTTTGTCAAGTAGATTCATATACTATGTCCTTATATGTCAAATATCCAGTATATTGCAGTCAATTACATCTAGTGGGTCGACTCACAGAGGAGGCAAAGTGCAGGGTTATAGCCTCCAGAAGCTACTTTAGGGTCACCATTGGAGAACAGAATGTTAACAAATCACAGTAACTCACAAAATAGGCAGTAAATTTGTTTCCTATATAAGTAGAAGATAAACAAACTCGGTTTATCATTGGAAGATAAAAAAAACTCCTAATTTACAACAAGACAATATATATAGACAATATGAAAGATGCAGCTGTTCCAGTCTAAAGGTAAACAAATGAGGGTCATGATCAGTAGTTCCACTCTGATAACAGAAAATATGGGAATTAAAAAAGGTTTAAAAAAAAAAGTCATACTAAAACTAAAATATATTCTGCTTCTTTAACTATTGGTGTACTACTCCTCATTTATTAAATGAGGCAGGCCAAAACGTTGTAAAAAAGCAACACTCTTTGCTCTGATCTTAGGAAATTAACAAACAAACGGGGAACACAGCCACTGGCATTTATCATTTAGTGCTAGTAGTAGCAGATGTTTGACAACAGATCATTGTCCTGTTTAATAATGCTGCTGAGTTTAAGAACAAACCTGGGCAGTTTATTTCCTTTGATAAAATCATTTGCAAGCTGTAATTTCTACTTATTTTGCTCATCCTGGTCTGATATTCATATATTTTTTTTATTCCTTCCTGAATATCATTATCTCTGTCTTTTATCCAAGGAAAACAGATTGAAATCCTGTACACCAGGGTTTCCCAACTGGGGGTACTCATACCCCTTGTGATCCACGAGTACATTGCAAGGGGTACATGAAAATATTTTTTTTCTTAGTTAATAAAATAAAATAGGGCTTGGATCTGATTTGCTTTGTAATTGAAAAATTAAACAAGCTTTTATCAACCAAAAAGTACATTATTCTTATATGTTTGAGTTCACCTTCAGCTGTGACACATAAAAACCAATTAGAGGAACAGACTGGATGTAGAGAACAGCCTGTTTTTCAGACTGAGCTATCGGAGCTCATCAAAGCAGCTCAGGTGTCTTAAAGAAAACAAAGTAAAACTTTTTAAAGCTACAGTGTGTAATAATTACAGGGATATACAGTCAGAAATGTAATATATTATACATAACTATGTTATTTATCTTCATCTACGAGCTCAGCCTCTTAACCTTAATATTTGCGTTGCCTTAGAATTCGTTATTTATAATTACATAGGAGCGGGTCTCGCAGCCATGGAGGCAGACATCTTTGCGCTACGGCAGCGCAGAGCCAACAAACTAGTGATTGCGAGATCGCCAAAATGTCTCAACGATGTAGAAAAAATAACGGGTATATTTATTATCTTAAGTCTACATGAAATCTATACCCTACACAGACTAATGAAATACTATCTTTAAAATTATCTATGTAAACAAACCTCATCACTTGAGAAGGTAGGTGATGCGGACGTCGTGGAAGACATTTTGTCCCATAACGCTCACCGTACTGTTGGGGGGGAGAAGCGGTGGGGGGGAGATGTTCATGTTGCTGCGGTCTGCAGTCTGACCGCTAGATGTCGCTAAAAGTTACACACTGTAGCTTTAAGTAAAATAGTCACGCAAGTCAAAAAGAGTTGGGAAACATTGACGTACAGAATCCCAACTGGACTGGAAAAATCAGCCAGAGCTACTTTTGCAAGGCGGCCTAACTGCTCAAAGCCCTGATTACAATCCTATGAATCCAAATGAACTTGGTTCATTGAAAAGCTTTTAAAAAATCGCTTCGATGGCCGCAACGATCTGAGGTTTGCTTTCACCTACATGATGCATATAATTTAAATTTTCTGTATAAAGTGGAAACGCACTAGATCAAAGTTGCATTAAGCTTCATGTTGTGAACCAAATGAATGTTTTGAATAATATTTGAAGTTGTACGGATCATCCATCCACCCTGAACTAAGAACACTTTAAAATGCATGGATGGAAAAGTTTTCACATTTTGTCTAAAAACTTTTAAATTCTATAAAGTTTAGAAGCAAGGTTAAAAATTCTTGTCAATTAAACACCTCCTCTGAAGAAAAGCAGAATAACATGCATTTAAAAAGAAAAAAATGCCCGGCATGACTTTTAAAGTTACCCTTGTTAACAGTCACACATGCAAACTTTAATTATTAAACCCGGCCTGGTGTTTAGGTCATGGAGGACATGTTCAGGTCTGCCACCGAGCATGTGATGGCCCGCTGTGTAGAGGACGTGGATTTGTTTCACCGACATGTGACTCCAGGACACAGGGTGAGTCCTGGAGGGCGTTCATAACCTGGATCTTTACTCCAAACTGTTTTGGCTCCACCTGACCTTATAATAACTTCTGATAACATTTTGTTTTTGCTGAATCCATCTAATTCAAGGACGCCGTAGAGGCCATGCTGAACAAGAGCTTCCCTGTGTGAGTGTTTTTGTTTCAGATAAAACTGAATCATCGGAAAATAAAGTCAAGGCCCCAAGGTTGACTGTGTGATACTGTCTTCTTAAAGGATTACTTATACTGAGGCTATAGACATCCTAAACCGCAGCTCGGAGAGATTTACCTTCCCCACAGATGTAAGTGGAATAGTTTATATAAAGCGTCTTTGCAGCTTCTATCTGCTGCCACAGATGTCCTCACTCACCTTAGCGCTTTTCTACAGTGGGGCTGTGACCTAATGACGGAGCATGAGAAGCATCTGGTAAAACATTGTGGAAATCTTCCGGTCTTCGTCACAGATTATCCCTATGACCTGAAGCCTTTTTATGCAAGAGATAATCAGGACCATCCCAGGCACACAGTAAGAAGTGGTTTTATATTGTATTTTTTTTCTCCAGATGTTTTTTTTATTGTCATTACACTGTCACAAGTACAGAGCAACGAAATCAACTCTCTGCATTTAACCTTTTCCCTTGGGGAGCAGAGGGCTGCCATTGTGCGGCACTGAGGAGCATGGTTAGCACCGTGGTTATGCAGCTAATTTTCTCCCCTTGTATTCCCAGTTAGGCCGCAGCAAGGATTGGCATATTTTAGTAGAGTTTTTCCTGTTTGTGTGCAGGCAGCTGCAGTGGACCTTCTTGTGCCAGGAGTTGGAGAGCTCTGCGGGGGCTCGCTAAGAGAGGAGAGGCTGAATCTGCTCATGGCTCGGCTGAAACAGTAAGAATGCATAAAGAAAGGAAAATCTGCTGGTTAATGCATATAAATGTTTTAAAAGCAGAGTAGACTAAGGAGCAGATCACAGAGAGAAAGGGATGCACCCATCAGAAGTTTCTGCTGATATTTCATCTAATGTGGCAGTTCTCTTTAGCAACTACGATCCAACAGCAATAAAAAATAGTTTTCTGCCCTTTTTAGTCATGTTAATGTGACTTTATCATGTGAAGTCAGAGGCAATTGTGACAAACATAGAAATAACATAATGTAGATTATGACATTTAATCTGACATTTCAAAAAGGCTGCTTAGATTTACAAACCCAGCCTGTTTCATCACAGAGACTGAAAGTTGAGGCATAGAATAGAGTATATAATGCATTTATCCTTCATGTCATATACTGATCTCTTACGCTCTTGCAATCTGAATAAAACTCAGATAAAATGATTATTAAGTTTGTTTTTTTATCAAAAAAAAAATTTTTTTATATATATATCTTAGCTTCCTCTGACCTTTCTTCAGATCCGTTACCAATACTGAAACTGGTTACCACCGTGTTCTTGCTTTAGTTACAGTGTAAAAAGCAAAGTGTTGGTGTTTATTTAGCTTGCACAAACTAAATAATGCTGTTTATGGTGTGTTCAGTTTACCCTTGATAAAAACCAACCAAGTTGGGCATGACCAACAAAACTGTATCTTGGCCAGTTTTGTTTTACAATTTGTATTCCTGCAAAGTTTTTTTTATTCCTATAATGCTTGGAGCCACATGTTTAAAATGTATTATTTGCAGTGCTGATATTATTATATATATATTTTTTATACATGATAATTAAGGTCTTTTTTTTTTTTTTACTTTTTAGGGCTGGATTAGAGGACACCTACAGCTGGTAAAAGCACAATATAATGGCAGTATATTTGTATTACCAGTATTAAAGATGGATGTTTTAGTGATGTTTTTATGTGTCTTTTATTTTGTAGGTATCTGGACTTAAGACGTTTCGGTTCCGTCCCCCATGGAGGTTTTGGACTGGGATTTGAACGATACCTGCAGTGCATTCTAGGAGTTGACAATATAAAAGATGTGATTCCTTTCCCAAGATTTTCACATTCATGCATGCTATAGAGGTATATTAAAACATCAGAGTCACTTTGTGTTTTGTTTATTTTTACATTAACAATTTCAGATTTTTTCCTAAATTGTCCAATGCCAATATTTTCCTTTCTATTAAACATTTTTTGTTTAATATTTTGGTCGGTTTCTCATTTATTTTTGATACCCAACAGTAAAGCATACCTTTAAAATATGCTTACCCTTTACGTTCTTCTACAGTACCTAAATGTTTCGCTTAAGTTTTAGATACAATGTTTTTAGGATGCTACAGAACTGAATTTATTTGAAGTTTAAAGTGATTAAAATAAATAAAGATTTCTAAATATGTGTTTTTCTATTGTCTTCAAACATGAACCTGTTTAAAATCTTTGCACAAGTATATTCTAAAATGTATTCAAAGTTTCTTGGTCTACATCAGGGGTCTTCAAAGTTTTCCAGGCCAAGGACCCCCAAACTGATGACGAGATGGAGCGAGGACCCCCCAATTGTATATATATTGTATGAAATTGTGTTATATCACACTAGTCCTATAGTGACTCTATTAGATATAGGGTAATGTAACGAAAGTAATTTTGCCCTGGGGTTATTAAAGTATTTCTGATTCCTTGTTGATGGGACAGGTGTTGTGAATGAAACGGTGCCCAGCTTGAAAGAGCTCCTGTGTGTCACTGAATGCGTGCATTGATGACTGAAAGACATCTTCTGCCTCCATTTATCTGTTTACTACAGTGTGCTGAATTCATGTTGATGTATATTTAAGACATTTCAATTAGTGGAAAAAATTGCTGGAGGGAATATAAAAAAAAAAGTCTAATGAACCAAAACTTTCACAACCCCCCATGCAGTACTTCTGGTCTACATGATGCATTTTGAGCCTATAAGGTCTTTACGACTTTATAGAAAAAGTTGCACTCAAAATTAGAATAAAATATTTTAAAATTAGCAGCACTGGATTTTATTTCCGGGTATCGGAGAAAAGGAACCTGCTTAGCCTTACTCTGTGTTCTGATCTAAAAGATCTCCCTAAAAACACACCTAAGATGGAGGTTTTAAAGTGAAAAAAGTAAAAGTTGAAGGATTATGATGTGTGGGGCTCTTCAAGCAGCTTCATCCACCACAAGGTGGTGCTTTTTCCCTATTTATCTAATAAAAGCGTGACATGCTATATTCAATAAGTAGGTTACTGATAAAAATCCAAACTTTAGTGTTATTTAGGATGTTAAGAAACTCAATGGTGAAGTTGGTGGAGGGTTTACAGCAACCTCTATGAAACCTATAAATATTTTTGAAATATGCTTAATCTTAAGTTTTATTTAAAGTGTTTTATTATTATTTCAGTTATTGTGATGTAAGGTTTTATTTTATGCAGATGAGCTTCCTATTTTTTAATTATTGTCTGCAAGCTATAGTCCCATCCCAGCAGCCCATCCCTCTCCCTGAGTGGGCGTGGCATGAGTTGGGAAAACAAACTGCAGACGCCCACAGATACTTCCTCGCCCCGCATCAGTTCTCTACCTCTCCTCCTGCGGATTACCGTCACCCGGCCGGGTCGTGCCTACTTTCCATTTCTTCTTGCCATTGCTTCTTTTTATTTATTTATTTTTGTGCGGCATATTATTTGGGACAGGGAGCGACCTTGTCCCATGCTCTGATTTGAAATGAGGGGAGCGGAGAGCAGCAGAGAAGCCGCAGCAGCGCTTTGAACCATCATGTATCCCTGGCTGACTGCACTCTGAGAGCCACTCTAAAGGAAGGAGCGACAGCAGCGCAACCATGAGCGGAGGAGAAATCATCTTTCAGGGCTGGCTGAGGAAATCACCCCCGGAGAAAAAGCTGAGGAGATATGTGAGTGGAGCAAACTTCCGCTTTACTTTTTAGTCTGTGTAGAAGTTTGGCACAGAGGTAACCCACCTGTTTTCTTTGGGCCAAACAGTGTTTTTGTTTTCACCTGCATCTTAGATGAGTGGAGCAGGTGCATCAAACTAGATCTCCTACTGCACAGGGGCGGAGCTGGATGGGGGGGTCAGGGGTGCCCCCACCCCTCTAATAATCAAGTGGAATATTCAAAACATTTACATTTTTTCATCTATTACTTACTATTTTTTTTATATATTTATAATTACCTGATAAAAAAAACACTGCGGTTAATTATGCACATCAATATACTAACATTAAAGATGCTGAGTACAGAATTCCTGCTCTTTTCAGAACTAGATTTTGTGTTTTATGGGGTAAAGAGAAATTTATGTGTCTTTGCATTCATCTAGGAGTCTTTTTTTCCTACTTGCTTTGATTCTGTTTTATTTTCCTATATTTTAATTATTTAAATGACTTTTCATTGTCTTTGTACTGAATTGTGATATACAAATACATTTGCCTTGCCTTGCCTTGCCTTGCCTGGGAGTCTTCAGTGAAATCATAGATAAATCACTATTTTTAATAAAAACTTATTAAGTAATCAATTTATGTAGATAATAGTACTTGTAACTTTCAATTTTATGCAGGATGATTATTGATAAACGTAGATAAGTAATGACAATGGAAAAGATTGATCCACTTTAACATCTATCTAGAAAGCATGGATATTTAAATGTATGCATCTATTTGGCTAAAGGAAATTAAGGCTGTAGGAAAGTATAGTTTGTCTTTATTTAGAAAATATGGATGTTTTGCTAAATAATTTTCCTGTTGGAACGGCGTAGATTGACCCTCAGGTTCTGGTGCCTGTCAATTTTCGGCCCCCCTCTCGGTGGTTACTGGTTATTGCCTGGCCACCCTTATAAAGATTTTCTGGCTACGCCTCTGCTTCTGCATATTTATTCTTACAAAGCAGAGGTCCTATCATTATTTTGGATTAGATCTGATTAATGCAAGACAGCTATGACTGAAAAGCTTTCTGATGCTCATTTTGCATTATCAGGCTTTAATGATGTAATGTCTAATCAAGCAAATATGTGATGGTTTTTCTTAGCCAAGACATTACAGGGGTGATAAATGCACACAGTCTGAGTGTTTTGACCACACCAAGCTGTTCCTCCTGTTGGGTGCTGGGCAGCCGAATGGCTGCAAATCAGATAATAGGATTTATGGAGGCAGATAGAACCATGAGACAATCTCCTATAAATACAGCTGCCTGTTGTTTATGTATGGTGTTGCATTACTGGGCCCACCTCCATATTCCCCGCTAGATGACTTCACAATGATGTCACCTCTGTTTCATTTGGAAATCCATCCTTGAATATCTTCAAATGCAGCCCGGCTATCCTGTCCTTTACTCATTGTTTTTCACTAAGAGCAAAGGCCCGTGTTTACACAGAGACCCGTGTGGATGTATGATCAGCAGCTGCAATATTAAGGGAGTAAAGAGTGGGGTTTGGTTACAGAACTTTATATAAACAACAAGAGGGAGGGAAAAATTGGCCTGTAGGCAAGAGAGGAGCGCTGTGAGCCTTTCTCACCCTGTGTCTCACCCTGTGAACCAACCTAAAAACAACCAGACAAACACTTTTTCAGCCAGAAAACAGAGTCATGAGATGGTGTCCAGAACAGGCAGACTTGTGAATGTGATAATCTGTCTATCTGAAATTCCTTCCACTTAAAGCCAAGCCGTGGACAATCGGGGCCATTTACTCACTAGTATTACTATCATCTGACGTAGTTAGGTTAATGCACTGGGATATTTTCGGGTATCTCAGACATTCCAGCCTGGAGGTGTGTTGTGTTGCAAGTTTTATCGGCCTAGAAAACCTCCAGGATGAAATGTCAAGAATTCCTTTTTATTTTCAAAGCTGCAACAGCTTCTAATATGCAACTTGTAGATTACTTGCTACAGTGGAAATGGTTTTTAATCTGTAACACCTTCTTTGTAAATACGCAACTCCTTTCCCCCTGAGCAAGACTAGACCAGTGTTTGTTAATAAGTAGTTAGAGAAATGCTTGGCTACTGAATAAGTTGCGTGTTACCTCCCATGGCCATAACCAAAACACAAAGACATGCAAGTTCAGAGCTGCTGATAGTAAAAACTGGCCATCACTGCTTCAGGTTGGGTATGCAAATTGCATGCAAAACACCAACCCTTGCTGGTTGCTTCTGGGAAAGATAGGGCTCAATGTTTTCATACACATGCATGCCTGGTCTGTTCTTGTTAAATGCTGCCTAATTGTTTACAAACACGATTAGGTCTCAGCAGTGACTCAATCACTCTGCAGCATCCAGCTTGCAAGCATAAACACATGATGAGCGTAAACTGTTGCCCACCCCCCACATCAAGCATGTGACAGCACCACAAGGGACATATGTAGTCAATGTTCACTCATCCTGCTTTTCCACAATGGGAAAAGAGAAAAAGAAAATGGTCTAAACGAAACGCTGGGCTGAGGTTTATCTCGTCTTCATGGGCTGATTAATGTTCCAGTGATGGGAGTGTTTTTTAAGTGCTTGGTGGGAGTGGCCTGCTTGCTTTTTTTGAACAATGGCCAGAGAAAGCACAAGTAACACGAAAACAACTGAGGAATAAAGCACTTCTACCCAGTAGCTCATTCATAGTTCATTAAAGGTCATTTTGCTCATCTGTCAGTGGTCGGACAGTATCATTACTGCTTCATTAAAACTCTTAAAGTGTTTTTTGCTGTGCATAACGGACAAATATGTTTTTGATTTAAAATCGCAAATGTTTAACTTTTGCACATTTTGTCATGTTAAATAAAAGTTTTCATTTTTTTTATGCAATCCAAATAACTAAAATCAACAGTCCTTCAAACGGACTCCAGAAATCACTTAATTGGTAAAGTGAATCCACCTGTTTTTTTATGGATCATTCGCACACGCCGTTGCATTTAGGGACTTCTTTCAAAGTGATTTTTTTCTGGTGTGTTGTCTTATGGAGCAGGGTTCACTTTAGGAATGGGAGGTTGTGGGTGTGTTTTCCTTGCTTTGCTACAGGTCTGTGTTTTTGAAAGGGAAATAATTCATGTAACATGCTGCAGAACTCCCCAATATGAAGGCGCACATTTTCCGCTGAGGAGTGGAAATGTCTCTGTGTGACAAAATTTGTTTTTTCATAATGGAATAAATGGCTTCTCTCTTCATGTCACAATTCTCTAGATGTTGTAAATCAGAAAATAACATGATAC